CTGTGACCATCCACTTTTACTTGAAATCATAGAATTACATAATGATCTTGCTACTGGCCAATATGACATCGTCTTTTGTTGGTTACCCAGCCTTGTTGGTATTATTGATAACACAGTGGTCGATGCTGCTTCAAAGGCAGCGCTCAACAAATCTGTGACACCACTTCTAATACCATATAGTGATTATAAGCCTGCTATTAGATATTACATCAGAGATCTTATGCAAAAGAAGTGGGACACCCAAGTAGGTATCAATAAGTTACATGAAGTTAAACCAACTACAGGTAACACCTACCTTGGCTGTCAGTCCAGATTTGAAGAGGTCATTCTAAGCCGATGTCGTATTGGCCATTCCCGATACACCCATGAGTATTTACTGAAAGGTGAGGATCCTCAGTTTTGTATCGCTAGTGAAGAGAGAATCACGGTCAAGTTTGCCTGCTTGACTGTATTGATTTTGCCATCACAAGGGATCAATATTTCAAAGTTATATCACTCAAGGATCTTTTTAACATGAACTCTCATTTAATTCTTGGATCTTTAAAAGAAATTGAATTAATTTATAAATGTTGATGTAGAATGTTATACATTTTATTATTTGGTAGTATATGATTATTAACTGAGATTGCTAGTGGCTGTACCCTAGATGAGGGTTGAAGTAGCGTAAAATTATTGTCCCCCTGAGGGGGTACATAAGCCAATGTCGTTCAAAGTAATTTATAATGAATGAATGAATCATCTTTATTTCCTCCATCATTTCGGAGAGTAATAAACATTTGGAGTCATGTTAATACAGAATATTTACAAGTACATTATGCAGAGAAATTCGCAATACTGAATATTTACATGGCTTGGTCCTGGTATGAGATATACTGTCTAAAGATAGATCATTGATCGCAGGTTCCAGGAGCTTATATCTCGTGATACAGAAGATATTAATTCAGCCCAGTTATCAAAGCTCATATCCTCTACAAAATTGGTTATACCACCTAGTAATGTCACAGGTTTTACTTCGTCATCTGCACAGTCCTCAATACACGTGTATTGTTCGAAGTTTAAAGTGTCGAATAGATGCTCATAGAGGGTGTTACTTGCTTCAGCTAAAGCTGTACAACATAGCAGTTGATGCTTTATTATGTCATCGCACTCCTCATCACACATTAAACACTGTCCAGGTGTTATTGGTAGTGTTCCTAGCTTCACAAGTGCATACATACATGTAGGTCTTGTTGGTATGCTGTACAAAATACGCATATTCCACATTCTGTGAGGTACGAGCTAACTGTGAATTTTACTAAATCTATTTAATTCAGGGTGATCTCGCAGACACGTGTGCCAATGAGCAGGTTCATGTTCTGTTTCTTTAGTCCACACATCCTTGGAGTGAGTGAGTGAGTTGGGTTTAACGCCGCTTTTAACAGTATTCCAGTTATATCACGGCGTGTCAGCTTAATGTGGGAGGAAAGCCCGAAGTGATGCAGGTGAAACCCACGAGTGCTGACAAACCTAGAAACATGATCGGGGCGAACCGGGATTCGAACCCACAGTCATAGGTTTCTGGCGTGCCCAAGGGACGCAACTCAGCACAGCGAATCGCGGCGCCTTAGACGACTGGGCCACCCGTGCCCCCATTCTTGGATTGAAACTGGTTAGTTTTCATAAAGTGATCTATTGTGGTCCATAATTGATACTTCTTTGTCACATTGAGTAGATCATGTGTTACAGACTTACTTTTGTCACTGCCTGTTATATATTGAGCACACTTGAAATAGAACACCTTTTTCGGGGCATATCTGTGGTTGCTTCTACACATCCTCCCAAGGAACATCAGCTTCATTTTGTCAATGAGAGATGTCATAGTACACAGTCCCAGCGTCTGAATAGTTGCAACGGTCGGAGATCGTACATGAAAATTATGTACATTATGTGCAAAGTAGCGCTGGAGTTTTGCAATTTCATTGTGTTCTGTCTTGGCAGATTTGACCACAGTTCAAAGAAGCGTAAATTCATTGTCCCCCTGAGTGGGTGAATAAGCCCATGTCGTAATTTATATACACCAGTGTTATAATCGTAGCATATCTGTTCGCATTAATCTTTGGCTAACCTACTCAATAATCACCAGTGGCTAAAGGGATGGTGTAAATCCTGCTGGGGTCCATGCAGGTAGCAAAGGTACTGTAAGTCCCCATGGTCCCCAGTATGGTGGCCTACATTTGGCTGCTGGTGATACAAAACCCACTTTTATTTTGTTTTGTTATAGATAGTCTAGTTTTATGGGGGGCGGTCGGGTAGCCTAGTGGTTAAAGCGTTCGCTCGTCACGCCGAAGACCCGGGTTCGATTCCCGACATGGGTACTATGTGTGATGCCCATTTCTGGTGTCCCCCGCCGTGATATTGCTGGAATATTGCTAAGGCGTAAAACCAACCATACTTGCTCGCTCGCTAGTTTTATGGTCATTTACTAGTTTTAAACTTATATCTGTGATAATCTAGTTCTTTTACTGTCCTTTGTCGAAAGGTTTTTAATCTTAATTTTTGTATTGCATTATTTGATGAAGTCACTATTTGGCTGAAATATTACCGATGTGACTTTAAATCTTAACTCACTCACTCAATTTAAAATCAAACATATAAAATGAACTGAGAGGTATAGTTTCTCTTGCCTCCAACTATATATTCAATTAGAGTTTTTGCAAGACTAGATACATATTTCGGGACTCATCTTTTAATATTCCGGGCTGGGGGTTGTTTATTAGAGACCGAATACTTTTCTGTGAACGTAGGGATGGGACTTTATCGAAAACCAAAAAGATTGTCCCAGAAAATGCTTTAAAAAAATATATAATGCTTCAGACTGTTAAAACGGTTTTGGGGGGTTTGCAACAGAAGATATATTGTTGCAAGGTCTTCCAGTCGCTTTTCAAGACATCCTCATTATCATTGAGATCACTGGGTTACATTGCGATTGTGGATCGGCAGCCAGGTGCTCGTGGTTATATTTAGCAGTGAACTGTGTCAATAGCGTTTTAGATACTACATCAGCTCGTATCTTTATTCAAGTTCTATTCGTGCTCAATCCAAACTCACTCAAGTCCAGACAAGACAACTTGTCAAGACAAACAAGTGTTGCTATAATGCGTACTTGGGACAAGTCACACTTTTTAATACTCCTTTAAGCTCTTTCATAGATTCTCAAGAGATTAATCAATTTGTAAAGTTTTTTTTTCACAATCATAATTAAGATTGATCAGTTATCAATACATTAATATAACCACAGTAACTTTGTTTTTTAGTATAGTATGAACACCATGGTGTTAATTTAATGAGTTAACATTTAACATCACATTGGCAATATTTCATGACCAGACAAAATTATACATTAATTACGAATATTTTAGACTGTATAAAACCCTGTCGTCGAAAGACAGAACAAACAACTAGATTATCACGGATTTTATCTAAACCTAGTCTGAGAGTATATAAAAGAATACATTCTGATTCAACAATACATTATAAAAATGGGCTAAAGACCAACCAAAATTAGGCCACCATACTGGGGACCGTGGGATATTTCTGCTACCTGCCCGGTCCTTCAGCACAATTTACACCATCGCTCCAGCTGCTGGCGATTGCAGTCAATTTTAGCCATCAATTAAAATTTACAAATATTCTACGATTAGAAACTACGGTAGGAATAACATGCTTTGAATGACATGGTTTTACGATACCCTCGCAGGGGGTCCCTATTTTGACTTATACGATATGTTTCCATGATTTTTCAGATGTTTTTAAGTATTGTTTTGCGACATCAACATCTCTAACACCATGTCAACCTTTACATTACGATAGTGAGTTTATCAATTCGTTTTTAGAAAATGACATTCGAGGAATGAACACAAAGGTTTTCACATGGACTGTCATAAAGGCAGTCCATTCAGAAACCTCGCTGAAACCTTTTCTAAATAAATCATTATTTCGTGTGCTCAGAATCAATAACTCATGGCCGGCAAACTAATGCCATACGTGACAGCAGCAATGCAACATACAGCGGGATATTTCTTCATCTACACCTGGGAGTTACTTGCGGATGCACAGTCTCCCAGAGACGAAGCCAACGTCGATGATGGAGGGAGCCCGCTGTGACAATTCCCCGGTCACGTCAACGGTGCTGACCATTACGCCCACGCGAGGTCACCGACGTGTTCCAGCCAACTTATGTGTCAAATGTTAGGTCTGGAAATGGGGAAACTATGATCCAGCGGCTACGGTCTTTTATGAGAAATCAAATCTGGCAATATGAACATGTGCTTTTGCCTTACAAAGGATGGCACAATTGTCTGAGGCGACACTGTATAGAATTGTGCCCCTTAGACGAGTCAGAAACCTATGATCGTGGGTTCGAATACCAGATACCCTTTAATTATAATTCTTGGTTTGTCAGCATAAAGTTACGAGTGAATTGAGTGACCAGTTTTTCGGCAATAGCACGGCGTGTCAGCTTAATGTTGAAGACAAGCCAAAAGTGGTGCAAGTTTTTATCATATTTGTGGGGCAAGGTTATGGTGTTAAACCGTGGACAATAACCAAGGTTAATTGAGGATTCGAACTTTTGATAATTGGATCCTGGCAAGGAACGCACCGGCGACATGCAGCAGTCGAGACCATCATCCTGTCCATAATCCCACAACTAGATTAATTATTGTCACCTCTTTTCATGGCGAAATGTATACAACCAAACGTGTTACATGCAGTTTCTTTACACTCACTTAGTAATAACAATGTAAAATGATCGATGATACAGTCAAAACATGAATGACGGTGTTGATATTCGTAGCAAATTGATACCGTAGGGATATACAAGAAACATCACATTATCATGAAACTAGGACATCTGAACCTTACAATAACTTTCTCAACAAAGTGAATATTCTATGAATCCCTGTAGCCTCAATAACAGATATTCTATCTCGCTACCGTTACCGTCTCGGCAAAAATCGTCTCCGACTCAATGACAGCGACTGTCAACGTAAGAAAGGACCAATCAAGCATCACCAAGTTGCCAGAGTGTGGTTATCTGTTGAGTCTAAAGGTTAATCTCTCACTTGCCAGTTTAAAACGACACGCCTTCACCTCACGACCAATCAGATTTCTCATCGATCCGCTTTAGACATGAGCGCACAGACCGATTTATCCCAGATGGAAAGGAGACAGCGTCGCAGTCAGGCTCATGCCGACGGTGCTGGTAACGGCAGTAAACGACTAACATGAAAACACTTGTGAAGACGTTGGCACTTTGACAATGATGTGAAGGACATGTGTAGGTGGACTGTTGATAACTCAGGCGTGAGAGCCTAAACTTTGTTACGTGTGTGTGCTGCAAAGCGAGTTATAAAACGTTACTTACAAGTCATAAGGGTTAACTTAGATGTGCCGGAAAGGTGTATCTTGGAGACGGAGTGAAAGCTGTGCAATTACTTCATACTAGTCGTATCGGACACAAGGATATGAGTACCGATATGTAAGTTTTTCTGACAATCCCAACCTTGACATCGTTGTTATGTTTACTGTAGGATAGAACATTGATGTGGATATGTTATTTGAGACTTGTAATATAAGTTTGTGATTCGTGACCTTGCTAAACTAGACGTTGTTTAGTGTTTTTTATTGATGTTATCAATCTATGCTAAACAAAGTATATATATTTTGATTATGTTCTTTTGTTAAATATTTACTAGTAATAATCTCTCGTTAATGAATATACAAAGTTGCTGATGGGTAGATAGAATTCTTTACAGTCCTCGCAATTACGAGCAATTCGTATCAATGAGCTAAATTTTTCAACAACGTTTACGACCAATATCAATCATCTGTGAACCATTCCAACATTGAATGCAGCAATTAGCTACTTGAGACAGTCTGTCACACACGCATCCATTAATTTGACGTTAAATGGCTGTAACTGTGGTCCCACTAACAATGTCTTACAATATGACGGAGCTGTTCGACAACATGACGGGATATGGAGGCAGTGAACCACCATCTTACGTCTTCGTCCGGCGGCTACAGACTGTGATGTTTCCGATAATATGTATTGCTGGAACGGTTGGCAACTGTCTTGCAGTCGGTGCTTTCTTCAGCAAATCATTGCGGAACACCTCCTGCTGTTTATACCTAGGTGTCAAATCACTATCAGACATCGGATTTCTAATCAGTGTGTTCATCATATTCCTGTTTCGTGTCCGAGTCGGGATCATGAGTATACAAGGGATCTGCCAGATAACAATCTTCCTGTCCTACGTTTGTCCCTTTCTTTCAATATGGCTCGTGGTGGTCATAACGTTTGAGAACTTTATCCGTATATCCCAACCTGCTCTGGTCCCCAGAATCTGCACAACGAGAATGGCCCAGATGGTCATATTCATCTACATCACAGTGTCCCTTGCAGTGTATAATTTCCCTTTCTGGACCACGGGAGTAGACTACGGGATGTGCTCACCTTTGCCCCAATTCCAACAAATCTCCATCGTCTATACCTACGTAGACAGTCTCCTGACCCTTGTGTTGCCGCTGGTGCTGATGGTCATCCTTGTCCCCTTGGTGACCGTCAGTGCCCTTCAGGCCCACAAGAGGAAGATGAGATTGCAGGCAGGGAAGCAGAGGAAGGACAAGAAGGCTTCACCTGAGGCGCAAGTAACAAGACTCCTCTTCGCTGTGTCTATTGTGTTCATTGTTCTTCACACCCCAAGTCATTCCATAAGAATCAAGGAACTCGTGATGCAGCTCATCTATAACGTAAGCCCATCTTTTAATGACCTTATTGTGCACAGGATCTTCGAAATGTTTTATTACCTTGATTTCTGTGTCAGTCTAGCTGTGTATTTAATATTTGGTGGTAACTTCAGAAATGTGTTCAAGAAGAAGTATTTCTCACGGTGCAATGGCAAAGAGAAGGAGAAAGAACCTACAACATTGGAATCTCCAGTGTCACAGAGACTTATCAAGTGATAATGTAAAAATCACCCGTTCTGCTAACGATGGACTGTATAGACACTACTGTGTGTTACTATAACATAATATGTGATAGAATGATGTTCGGCATGTCCATATGTTAGAATGCGTCCACAGAAACATCTACTGGTTGTAAGAGGCGACCAAATGGATCGGGTGGTCAGGCTCGGTTACTTGATTGATAGTGTTGCCTGGTGCCCTGACGGCGTTGATCGTTGCCCACAATATCGATCACTGGATTGTCTGGTCCAGACTCGATTATTTACAGGCCACCGCCATATAGCTGGAATATTGCTGAGTACGGCGTTACACACCAAACCAACAGAGCATGTCGGTATGTCCTTAATACGGAGGTCGAACATACACAATTTTGCTGTGATATTTAAATGGGGATCACCATTATTTGATGGAACGAGGAAAGAACAAACTATTCGTGTATATTATGCATGTTGCTGGTTCGAGACAACATATAGAAAATGTTACCGATTTATTTTGTCGCTAAAGTAGATAGACGGGTTGTTCTAGATGGGAACAACTGTATTTTTATTGCTGTAATTTACAAAATTCCTCCCGGTGTTTATGTAGGGGATAGAACTTTTAAAATGTGTGGGATGAGATGGAATTCAACTTCTTAACCTTTCTTTAACACTTGATGTTGTACAATATATACCCTTTAAATATATGTTTACTCATGATGTTATACCCGATTATTCCACTGAACCATGTGAGTTATTCAAGGGACATGTTTGATTTAATCATATTATCAATTGAGTGGCAAGAATATATTTTTCACACTTATTTCGAACTATTGATTGATTTATGTATTTGTGTATTCTATTAAGTTGTATTAAATACTTTCATGCGCATGTGGTCAGTATCCTTTCATATTAATTGATAATATATAATAACTTCTCGTCACGATATGGCTGAAATATTGCCGATGTGACGTTAAATTTAACTCACTCACTCAGTATCCTTTCACAAAGAAGAAAAGGTTACAGTGTAACGCCATTAGGTCGGAACAGTTTGTTATTAGGGAGGATTTCCTTGGGGCGTTGATGTCCTGATTCACGAGTTCCGCTGTATACAGGTTCTGTAAGCCAGAGGTTTGACTGTCCGACTGGTTATGATCGTTTTTCATTCAGTAAGGCTGTAAACTAAGCGTTATATTATACATTTTACGAAAGTACATCGATGCTCATGATGACAATCACTGGATTGTATGTTCAAGATCTGATTATTTACAGATAGTCGTCATATAGCTCGAATAAGTGCGGCCTTAAACAGAAAACAAAACAAAACGAGAGGTGAGATTTCCAAAGATGACAATGGAAGCGCGATGTCCTGACCAACAGGGTTTCGCTTTATGTGAAGGGCATTGTGTAAGTTTGAGAATAACTACTAACGACTAACAGGATCGGGTGGTCAGGCTCGCTCACTTGGTTGATGCATGTCATCGTATCCCAATTGCGCAGATTGATTGATTGTCTGGTCCAGACTCGATGATTTACAGACCGCCGCCATGTAGCGCTGGAATATTGCTGAGTGCGGTGTTAAACAACAAACAAACAAACAGACACAGAGGTAATCGATAGAAATGTGGAGTCTCCAGATTAACGCTGTTGTTTAATTAATTGATTTTTTAATTAATTAATTGTTTAACATAATAATTGTTGTGTGTGTGTAAACCCTGAGGACAAACCATCATTTTACTATGCTTTAGAATAAATCATTGTACTCTATAAATTCCAGCTCGCACACCCTCACACACCACACCCTCACACACCACACCCTCACACACCGTACCCTCACACACCACACCTAACCCAGAATTTCAAGTGATTGCCTCACGTTCCCTATGGTCGCCATTGGTCGTTCAAAGCAGGCATATTCTCGCTTGGGAGCTAAACTCCGACGGTAGCATTTCTGTCTTGATGGTGGCCCGTGCACAGCGCACATATCACAAATCTGGTGAGGTTAAGCATCGTTGGTAGCGGAAATTAGTGTTTGTTTGTTTGTTTGTTTGTTGTTTATCGCCGCATAATATTCCAGAAATATGACGGCGTTCTATAAATAATCGAATCAGGAACACGCAATCCAGTGATTGATATCATGAGCATCGGTCAACACAAATGGAATACGATGACTTGAATCAACTAAGATTATATACATACCGGCGTAATAAAGCTGGACAATTGCTGAGTGCGGCATTTAACAACAGACAAAGAAGCACGGGCTACGGCTGAGACCTCCCACATAAAGCTGATATACCCTGATATAACTGAAATATTGTTCCAAGAGGCGTTGAACCCAACTCACTCAATCAAGAATCCTCTCATGTTTCCGGTTCATGTCGGTAGCCATTCACAATGTCTGGATTTGTGGCCTTTTTCAAGAGTGCATTGTTATTCCTGTCGACGTAAGGATGTCTTGTATAGGGTTTCATGTCATTGTCGACATAAACCATAATAAGGGCAGATCTTACAACCGACGCAAGATCGGCTGATCCCGATACGACCAAGTGGCAAAACTCTGCACGGCATATTCCGGTGGCTTATACTTCAAGGACATGGCAATCCCAGCTACACTATCGACCTATGTGTGTCATCATTGTGCTTACAATCATATACACAGTAATTATACCCCGCCACGAAGTGGAAGGGGGAAATAGGAATGGGTGCTGTCCGTCCGTCCATCACATTTCGTTTCCGGAGAAGATCTTGAAAACCGTACCATATTTTTTTCACCAAACGTGGCACATAGATAGGTCTAGTGGTGAACTGCTGCCTTTGGATAGTTTGGGAATTTGAGAAAAATAATTTTCGAGTTTCCATGGCAACGACTTTGACTTAGACTGAAACTGGCGGTAGTCCTCGTTTCCGGAGCTATGGCTATGTGACTTAAAATCTTAACTCACTCATTTACTCGTTTCCGGAGCAGATCTTGAAAACCGTATCATATTTCTTCACCAAACTTGGCACATAATGTCATCTCGCAGTACTGAATACCTTTCTTTCTAGTTGGTAAGTTCTGCATTGCTTGTGTGTATGTTCCTCCAAAAGTGTCATGGACACGGTTGTTGCATTCACCGACTACCTTCATGCAGAAACACAACTCATTACAAATACAACAGTGTAACTGATCTTAAACCTTCTCAACTATATAAACACTGCCTCCTATCCTGTATATATACTTGTCAACCATACTCTGTACTTCACCTGCTTGATAACAGTGTTAGAACCTACACCGAAACCATCACTCCTAATTGTAATAAAGAAGTTGTTCATCCTTATTCATTACAAATACAGTTACGTATTCTATCATAAACTGCAGATGGCAAAACAACACCAGTAATAACTTTTTTTAATGCTGCAATTAGACCATTTACAAAAAGGCCCAGTGAACATAGTTCACAGGAGCTAATGCATTGCCCACAACCGGACATGTCATATTGGCGGGGGATATGAGTATTTCATGCTTGTTTTCCTATTTGTACACGCACACTCTGGTATCTGAATGACGTATCAACTATTTACCTTGTTGATATGGAACTAATTTATTTTATATACTATTTATCCAGATTTGTTTGCATTGCCACATACCCATATTTTGATAACTATAACAAGATAATCTGTAAAATATTTTCAATCAACAAAGCGTTTAAAGGAGTAACACTAAATGGGTGTTACACCAATGTCCGAATGGAAAGCATGTGCAGTCATTCTATCTCTCTGTATTTTATAAACTCAGGCAGGGTATTCGAACGCTGTCCTATTGCTTTTTGTGGTATCCACACCCTACCGTGGGCCCACTGTACCGTGAACATGATCAGACCGAGAAATGTGTGTCTATATTTCAGCTGAGTACACGTGTGAGTTAGGTGTAACGCCCCTTTTGAAAAGTATTCCATTTACATCACGGCGTGTCAGCTGTGGAGGGAAAAGCCGAGGTGATTTAGGTCTCAGACGTTTACCACTTTAGTGAAACGAGCACGGGTATGGTGATGTCCAACCGTGAATCATGATCAAACTGCGACCCGGCAATCACAGGTTTCAGACGTGCCCAAGGGACGCAACTTTGCAACGGTATTTGTATGCAGTAAGTACACTGTAGATATCACTGCAATGAAATTACACCACAATGCTTTGCAGACCATTGGTTACCATGACGTCACAATCAAATGACATCACTAATGGCTCTGCTACTGAAGCTGTTAGCAGTATGTTTTACACTGAAGACACTGCTAATTATTGTCTACAAATTGAAAAAGTTGGAAGAATGATGTTGGATGATAAATAAAATCTCACCCGAGTGTCTTTTGATATCAAATATATCAACACTCGTTGATAAAAGTGTCAAAAATCCTCGGCAAGCCTCGGAATTTTTCCATTTTTATCAACTCGTGTTGATATATTTGATATCAAAAGACACTCGGGTGAGATTCTCTATGTACATGATATAAATTTTAACTCACTCACTCACTCATTATGTACATGAAACCTTAGCATATGAAACACTGAATGTATATAAGAACGTGTTCTTGTAAAAAATATGTGGGAACAGGTATCCCTACAACAAAACTTGATAATAGTGTGTGCTCAACGGACAAGAGTACAATATGACTAATTTCAGGAAATGCTTAATGCTTTGTAAAACATTAACATTTGCACAATAGGGTGACGGAACCTACATGGATTTCTGAAACAATGTGTCCTTTCCCAGATTTGATAATTATAAGTGAAGATGTTTCTGTCGATAATTCTGGAATGATTCATTTTCATAATTTCATTAGTGATCACACATATTAATGAAAACACATTTATCATTTTGATATGCGGTATGATGGTGAATATGACAAATAAAACAACATTATTCAATCAACTGATTAGACTCACACTTTTAACGACTGTGAGTGGGTGAGTTAAAATTTAACGTCGCATTATTTCAGCCATATAGGGAATGAACGAATGTATAAATAAATAACTCAAAATATGGATACCTTCCAAAAACCTTGGATTAAACCAGACGATTAACCAGGGTTTTAATTCTGAAATACGAAGACAAGAAGACAAATAAAGACAACAAATAGATAACTTCAAATTACAAGTACAAAGAAAAGGACAGAACATTGTACAGAATGAAAACAAAGTAAATAACATGAAATATTATGCAAAGAAATTGTTTTATTCCAATTTGGACATTTTCGTTTTAGGAATATACTCAGAAACAAAACTTCTTACAACTGGAAATTGTTGCGATATTTTGTGATAAATAGAGCCAAGACATCATCTGTTAACCCTCTGTGCAGGCATGATACGGCCGAAAGCCCAAATTCATATTCCAATAAATGTAATTTAATCATTAAACATGTATTTGTCATCGATAGAAGATGTGGATACAGCCGGAAGCCCAAATTCATATTCCAATAAATGTAATTTAATCGTTAAACATGTATTTGTCATCGATAGAAGATGTGGATACAGCCGGAAGCCCAAATATGACGGCAGTATGCCTCAATCTGTTAATCCTATAAATGTCTGCCTGGCAGCACTACCCGCTCCTGTTAATCCCACATGTGTCGGCCTGGCAACACTACCTGCATCTGGGAATCCTATAGGTGTTTGCCTGGCAGCACTACCTGCATCTGTTAATCCTAAAGTTGTCTGCCTCGCAGCACTACCTGTATCTGTTAATCCTAAAGTTGTCTGCCTCGCAGCACTACCTGTATCTGTTAATCCTGTAAATGTCTGCCTCGCAGCACTACCTGCATCTGTTAATCCTAAAGTTGTCTGCCTCGCAGCACTACCTGCATCTGTTAATCCTAAAGTTGTCTGCCTCGCAGCACTACCTGTATCTGTTAATCC